GTTTGATGGAGGTTGTTCACTGTAGATTATTTTTCTTTGTTCTTACTGGATTGTCCATTTTGGAATTCTTTTAATGCAAACCGGGTTAATGAAGAATGCATTAATAAAACACTGGCTCCCACCAGTTACTCTATTACACTTCATTATATATTACAAATACTCACTAATGAAATATTTAACATCTCTGATCATATAATATTGCACATTTAATATCGTAAAATATAATAAAGTGCATTTTTATTACTGTACAAATGTTTCAAGAAAATAAAAAAGATTCCATGCTTCTTAAAGGATAAAAAATTGCATATACAAAGTAATCCAATCAGAATTGGGCAATTTTATATTCAATTAGCATATATTGCACTGTACTTGTGTTTTTTTCTAGTTATACTACAATGAAAGCAGCTTCATCTGTTTTCTAGTTGTCACTCAGGTTAACTAATTTAAACATGTTCTACTGAATTAAGATTCAGAATGTTTAGAATAATAGAGTGGGGAGGGACTTTGGAGGTCTTCTAGTCCAACCCTCTGCTCCACACAAGTGGCTGTCTAGTCTCTTCTTAAAAGTCTCCAGTGATGACAAGGGCTTTGATATTTGTATCTATAAATATTCATAAACAAACAAACTATGTTTTACCAATGTGATTTTTTCCCTTTTCATTAGAAAACTGTAGATTTGGAAAACTGGCCTCTGAGTATTAAGCATAACAATTAATGTAGCAAAGACAACAGGAAGTAAAAATATGCCTAACCTTTGAAATGTTAGACCACACCCGTTTCTGATGAAGCAACACAATTATGTTTATTTTTGAAGCTGATAAAACACAAAGAAAATGTACAACAGTAATGCAAAGATTTTTCCTTTGATTGTGTCCGATTCTTGGAGATTGCCTGGACAAGTTACTGTGGTTTTCTTGGCAAGGTTTTTCAGAAGCAGTTTGCCTCCTTCCTAGTCCTGAGAAAATGACCAGCCCAAAGTTATATATCTAGCCTGATGCCTTAACCATGACATTAAACTGACTCTATATTTAATCAGCATATTATAGAACACAAAATCATTTCTAGTATTCATTTATTAGGCTCTATTAAACATCTATTTATGGCTATCTAGGGCCTAATATAACACTTAAAGAGGCCATGTGATCATTATTTCTGAAATTCCCAGCTGACTTCCAATAAGCAGTCAATGGTAGGAGCCAGATTCACTTAACAATCATATGATTCACCTAACAACTGCAGCGATTCATTTAACAATGTGACAAATAGGTGACAAATAGGTCATAAAATCAGGCACAATTCAGTTAACAACTGTGCCTTGCTTAGCAACAGAAATTCTGGTCCCCACTGTATTTCCTAGAATATAGTTTTGAAACCTTAAAACTATAATGACTAGGCAGTTAACCTAGAAGCATAAAATATAGATAAATGATCAACAGAGAGATAAGATTAGTTGCTAACAGCAAGACCACTTGTTTTTATATTACACAAAAAGGGCTATAATTTGGCAGAGATATACAAGAATCTATGAAACAGCGATCTTAATACATGAACTATATAAGCTTTTATGACAACTGAAAAGACTACCAGTAGTCCTCACCTTACAAAAAGTGGAATTAGGAAATTTGTTGTTAAACAGTGCAGTTGCTGAACAAGCACAGCTGATATAAATGGAGATCATGTGAACCCAGGAAGCTGCAACTATCATAAATACAAGTTGGTTGTCAAGCATCCAGTCACAATCACATGACTGCAGGGATGCTGCAACAGTTGTCACTTTTTCAGCACTATTGTAACTTTGAATAGTTGCTAAATGAATGATTGTACCGTAAGTCAAATACTATCTGTTAAGTGGTTTAGCACTGATAAAATTATTGTATCAATGGTCATTCATGAATTCACTTAAAATTGGCTAAATTGTGAACATAACTTGAGAACTACCTATATTAAAGATGTAACTTGACACACATTCTAAAAGTAGCTGGTAGTATGTTCCTAAGGGCAGCAAATACTTTAAAGATTACAACAAACACATTCAATCAAATCTGGTAAATAATTGACAACCAGTACAAAAGTGTAAGTATTGGAATGACTTGATCACTGCATTGTGTTCCATAGAAAGCCAGTTTGTACCAACTGAAGTTTTCAGATGCTATCCAATTACTTACTATAACACACTGAAATAGTCAAAATATGCTATTAGAACATGAATAAATGCAACTTTGTATTTCATAGTTGTAAATTCATCATCTATTAACTTTAAATGCTATAAATCTAAGTCTATCATTTGTCTCTTTGGCAAAGAATTTTAAGTAGGTCTCATTGTCCTGGAAGATGAGATTTTTTTTCATATTGCCTCTAAATTTGAAATGTTCTAATACCTTAAGAAAAAAAATGTTTATACAGTCCCTCAATTGTGCAATTTCTTATTAGTTTCTTCAAAAGAGTATTAAAATGCAAAATAACAATTAGATTATCTTGAAGGATATGTTACTGTCAAGCACCGTATCTTTATTTGTTCAATGTCTATTTAAACTTATTATAGTTATCCTAATTTGATATTTATGACATTCAAAGTCTCACAACGTTATTTATAGGCCCAATCAATATTGAATTCTCTACTAGCCTACAGTTATAGTGTTGAAAGACTATAGTTAGAATTCTCTTATTAACCCAGGATTACATTAAACAAAACTCTGACAGCTGCCACAACTGATAACATTGCCAGTGAACTTAAGACAAACTGGGTAATTTTTTAACCCACTGACTGTTGGGGAGGGGAATCATTCCTGAAATCAGAATTGAAATACTTCACCAAATTAAGGTTAAATTATTTAAAAATAATCAATAAATCCAACATAGTGAAAGGTGTTCATTACATATAATGAAGTGAAAGCCACAAATCATATTATGCATTTAACATTTGTCTGGAATGTTTATGGAGATTCTCAGTCATCCAGATCATGGTTGCCCCAAAGGTGCTTTTCAAAAGGCAACTGGATTGTTTTTTCCATGAAAACATTTTGCTTCTCATTCAAGAAGCTTCATCAATTCTTTGGTGTGGAATATTTATTATATAATGCCAGCTAAATAACTACAGTAAATGCAGTGGGACTATTAAGAGACTATAAACAACACAAAGCATCTGTACTACCATAACTATTCACTATTAACATAACCAATATGGGCCAAAATCATTTGCAATAAATGAGTATGCAAGCTTAAATCTTAGTGATTTCACAGAACATTCCATGTACTTTGGAAGTAGTTTGTAGCTGACTTTATCTGGGATATTTATATTTCTCAGGTTATGGCATTAATCCATTTAAGTACTAACTTTGCCTAACTTCCTGAGAGCATCTACATGTGGCTAATGCATGTAGTGCTTTATCAAATTGAATTTAAAGCAACCATAGTTAAGTGAAAACTCACTAGAAGTTTTCTTTTTAAGTGATCTGGGCACTTTAATTTTTAACTGATTAGTTTCTATTGCAGTAACCACAATATGGTTTTGCAATTAAAACAATACTGGTAAATGCAAAAAAGGCAATCACATAATATAACTTGGTTGCAGTTCCATATATCATCTCACTGTTTGTACATCTTGCTTAAAGAATCACCCACCCTATTTACTATAAGTGAAAAATACACATAACTCATTAATATTTATCTCATTCTTTGAAGATATTTTGCTTCTCATCCAAGAATACATGGTGGAGAATCAAAGGATTCAATCATCAGCCAGTCAAAGCCTGAAGGTGCTTCTTGGATGTGAAGCAAACCAAAAGCCAGAAAGTCCAGTTGCCTCTTGAAAAAGCATCTTTGGGACAGACCAACAAAATGTTTTCATGCTGTATTTAGGTCTAAGATGTATGGCAATCAAAACAATGTAGCTTCTGTCGTCATTAAACAGAACTAGGGTATGCTATCATAGGTGTCAGTAGGCCTTTATTGTTGTTTATTTTGAAATCCAGGACCTTGCTGTCATAACCAGGCGAGCTCCAAGGAACGGTGTTCAGTTCATCTCAGTATATGCTAGAGAGATTTCCTGTACCTGATCAGCTTTGTCTCTCTCTGGGTGTGTGTCCCTCTCTTCCCACCCTCCCAAAAACGCTTACACAACTGCAGACGGCCCCTCCCCCCTTCAAACTCGAAACTGTCACCGCTGTATCTTTGGTGCCATTGCAAAACAAATAAACCAAGAAAACCCAGGAAGATGAAGATCTGAGAGACAGGAGGGCTCTGAATCCAGACCACAATCCAACTGACCCCAGGGGATATAGAAAAGGGAAAGGGGAAACGCAGGAGGCTATCGCGGAAGCTAAACCCGCCAGCTCGCCTTTTAATCTTTCAACCTCGCCTCTCTTCTTCTCTTCTCCCCCTTCACCACCAGCACCGACATTCTCGCGCGCGCTCTCTCCTCAACCCGACGCGCTCACCTCACTTGAGTCACACACCGTCTTCCATCCCATAATCCCACCTCCTTCCTCCGGCCGAGAGGCTGCCAGGCGGGCACGCAGACACCGCTCCACACGCTTCTCTCTCTCTCTCTCTTCCTCCGGCTGACGAAGCGCCCCCTTTCCCTCCGTCCCACACCTTTCACTGCACCACCTCGCCATACCGTCTCCACCACTACCACCACCACCCCGCGGCTCAACGAAGCCGGACGCTCCCTCCGCACCTCAAGAGCAAGGAACACGGCTGCCCCCGCGGCCGGGCAAGAGGCCAACGGCACCTGAGAGCCTCCCGGGGCTGTCCAGGCAGCGGCCCCGCCCTGCCAGGAGAGAGAGGAAGACCAGGTCCCTTCTCGCGCCGACGCCAACCGACGCGCCTTCGCCTCCTCCGGTCCCAAGTCAGTCACTCCGACCGCCAGTCGAAGGGATGGACGGCCAGACAGATAGCCGTCTCCTTCGGCGAGCACGACGCACCTCGCTGAGGTACAGCGGGGAACGAGAAGAAAAGGGACGAGGGACGGAAGTCGCTTGCGTCGCCGCCTCACTTGCCTGCCTCCTCCCCAGGTGGGGATGCTCGGACGCCGATAAGCCTTTCGCGAGGGTGCTGGCAGTGGTCGAAGGCGCCCCCCTCCCCTTTCCCCTCAGACGGTCTCGCTGCTCGGCTGGCTCTCGTTCAATCGCGCTCTCCTCTCCCTCTCTCTCTCCCTCCTTCACCCACCTCTCCTCTTCTCCCCCCCCCCGCCCCATAACATAGTAGTAAGTTTCTATTGGCGGGGAGGAGAAGGCGGAGTTCCGCAGGGGCTCAGCCATTGGCTCTCGGCCGCGGAGAGGGAGGGAACCAAAGCGGAGCGGGGAGAGAGAGAGAGAGAGAGAGAGACGACTTGTGTGGTGGTGAGAACGAGGGAGCGCGGGACGCGCGGAGGGCTTCGTGGGAGATGGAACGGCAGTGGGAAGGAGGGGGGCAGCGCAAGCGCGCAAGGAGAAAAGCGGCAGTGGCGAGTGGGGAAGATAGGTAGCGAAAGAGCGCGCGCGCGCGCGACGCTCGCGCCCTCTTCAAAATAAATGAATCCCAACGGCCATCTGGGTCAGTTATGAGGAAAAGGTGCGCGCGCAGGCATGCTCGCTTATTTCTTTAAACCCCCCCTCCCCTTTCCTCGTTTCCTTCCCGCTATGGGAGTTGCAGTCCTTTTCTGTGGATCGCCCTCGGGACTTAACCTGCTTTTTTTCCCTTCTTCTTCCCTTTCCCTCCGCCCTACACAAAAAAATAAAATAAATAAAGGAAGGAGATGGGGAAGATAACAATGGCTCGTCGGCCCAGACGTCTTTGACCAAAAGGCGGGGCTGCCGAGGTGTAATAATAGTACGAGCGGAATGGACGAAGGAAGCGAGGCATCCAATAGAGTCGGAGTCTGGAGCGCTGCGTCAGATGGAAAAAAGCAGCTTGGCTTAAAAACGCTTGCAGGAGAAGCTGGACCCCGGTTTACACAATTAATCCAGCTTCCTGTGGCAGTCTCCGCATGCCTTATGCTAATCCCTTGAGCTGCTGGGTCCACTCGACGCAAGAGGTGAAAAGGTGGCGATTATTCTAGTAGTGAATGATTCAAGGTTCAAGAAGCTGCCATCAAGGGCCATCCAGTCTGTTCCCCCCCCCCAAAAAAGTCAGCCTACTGTTTTGTTTTGTTTTTATTTTTTTCCTCCCAAGCATTTGCGGTACAGAAAAATACACTGCCTCTGAATGTGGAGGCTCCATTTCTTGGGCTTTTGATAAATCGTGTCATCTCACTGACTCGGTGATAGCTATATCTGTGGCAGTGAGAACAATCCATTAACTGTGTATTTTGTGAAATCCTTTCTTTTGTCCCCTGCCCATCTGATTAGATTAAATGCATACTATCAAAGCTACCAACTGGTGCCAGATTGTATGAGAAAATGATCTTTTAATTGCATGGGTCCTGAATTTCTCATACAAACTTGCACTCTTTAGTAGCCTTGACAGTGAGTACTTAACGCCTAATATTGCTACACCCACATGAGAAATTGCATATCGTCCTCAAGTTTACAGCCATTTGTTTAGCAATTGTTGGAAGTTACGACTGATGGAAATAGTGACAATCTTCGCACTTAAAACTAATTCCACTGCATTTGTGTGTGGTCACATGAAAAAAAAATGGGTGCTTGGTAACCATCATCTACTTACAACCGTTACAGCACCATGGTTCATGTGATCACCATTGATCTTTTCCAGTCAGCTTTCCACAAACAAAATATATGGGGTAAGCCAGATTCACCTAAAAACCACAGAAAAAGATTGGGCAGGACTCAACTACCTCAGCGACAGATGTTCCAATCCCAATTGCTGTCATAAATCAAGGATCACTGGTAGTCTGAACTAGACATAGCTTAATCCACTTGCCAGTATCCTGAGAAACAACTACTATGTCAACAGTGTTTTCATACTATAAAGGAGCAGACCGTCCCTCCTATGCATTTTACTTCTGGAAGTTCCTTGAAACAAATACCTATCACTTTCTTCGCTATGGCATCATAGCAGAACTTAAAACATCAAGCACAGTGAAACCGGGAAGTGTTGGCTCTGCATATTTAAGTATAGCATTATGCTTTTAAAAACTAAATCTGAAACATGCAGCTTGCTCAACTGAAGGAGGAAATTGTAGCAAAATAAATCTTTCATGGGGAAAAAAATAGCTTCTACCACATATTTGTTCTGAAGAGTATTATACCAAGGGGGCACACACATTGGGTAGGTTAAGAGTAATGCAGCTGGCCTCCTATAGCAGCAAAAGGTGTACATGAGATTTTTAAACTACCTGTGTTTACTGGAAAATAAAACTGGGTCTTATTTTCTTTTGGGCCCCAAAATAAGCACTAGGTCTTATTTGGAGGCGGGGTTGTCTTACTTTTTTTCCCCATGTACGGGAGGCCCATTTCTGCTTGCTCACAACAGGGCAGGAGGCTGTGCAGCATGCTAGTGTTACGTGGGGTGAAGCTGCCCCACGGGCCCTGCACTGGCTTACCTCAGGGCCCCTGCAGCCAGGTCACCTATGTCCCGACACCTGCCTCACCTCATGATGGCTCTGGCAGCCCCATCCAGCAGAACCCTGGGTGGGCCCAGCTCACTTCTGCTTGTGGCCGTAATGGAGCAGAAGGCCGAGCAATGCTTTAGTGCCATGACCACAAGGTGATAGGGGGTGGAGCTGCCACACACACCCTGTACCGTCTTACCTCAGGGCCCCCACAATCAGGCCATCCATGCCCTAACACCTATCTTGCCTCACAGCCACAGCACCAGTACACTACCTGGTTTCCTGTTCTGTTGCAGCCGCGAGTAAGCAGAAGTGGGCTGGCAGCCACCTGTGCACCTGGTTGCAGATATTGGAGTGTGGATGTCCTGTCTGCTGGGGCCCTGAGATAAGCTGGTTTGGGGAAGCTATACCACCATCCTGTGTCGCCTCATGGCCGCAGCGCCGCAAGCAACCAAATGGCACAGGTTCTTAAGTAGGGCTTATTTTGAGGGTACGGCTTATATTAGGTGCACGTATAAAACATGCCAGGGCTTATTTTTGGGATAGGTCTTATTTTCATGAAAACTGTATACACAGGTAGTGCTTAGCTTCCCACCCCAACTGGGACTGAAATTTCATTCACAAGTTATAGTGATAAGTAAATTGGATTTGATTTCACCACAAGAGTTATGGCAATCATTAAGAACCTCATGGTCATTAAGTGAATCATGCAGATGTTAAATGAATCCAGCTTCCCCAATGGGTGGTGGGTTTTTTTTGTTGGAAATTAGTATTGCAAATCGCAATCTTATTACTGTAGGACGGCTGTAACCAGTTGTAAATGCAAGCTGGTTGCATTTGAGCTCACGTGACTATGGAGTGGTGCAATAATCATAAATGGGACTACAGGTTTTAAATTACTTCATAATTTTGAACCATCATTAAACCAATAGTTATAAGTCAAGGACTACCTGTATTCCTCACAGTAGTGACATATGAAAAGGATGTATCCCCTTATCATAGAAAGGCATTGGGTGGCTCTCTCTAATATGTGTCACACTCACAGTACAAGAGATACTTTACGGCCAGTCATTAAGGACTGAAACATCCATGGCTTCCCTTTCACAAAAAATGGCTGAAAAATAATTGTATTAACACACATACTTCTAATACAGATATACCTCCATGCACGTAACAACACTGCAATCCAACAAGCTCTTTTTTTCTAACACTGTTATCAACATTTATAAAAAGCATGCCATTTATTACACATAAGAGTTTAAAAAAATCCAGGATTCTTCATATGGAAAGGATATTAAAAGGGAAAATAATTATAATTCTCAATTGGGTGGTGTGTGTTTTTAATCTCTCTCTTACATACAAGGGAAGCATAATCTCTCATACTGGCTTTGCATACTACAGTAATCTATGAATCAAAGTATATAATGGTTGGGTTGACGCAAGACAGTAAGCCAAAACCAAAATCAATAAACTATAGATTTGTCTGCTATGTGAATCAGGCCTTAGAATTACTATTTTATATACTGCATGTACACACCATATTTTCTCTCTCATGCTTATTTAAAGACTTCCCTTCATTTTATTCCACCTAAAATCAGCACGGGCTCAGAGCAAGTGAACAATCACATAATGAAAAATAATAATGAATTTGGTGGTCAAGTGTGGATTTAAATCTGTGTTTGCTGGTTGAGGTTTGACCCCATAACTGTTGTATTATCTCTTTACTACATTCTCAAATATCTGACTAAGGATCTCACTGCAATATTCTCTAATCAACAAAACAGGTATGGTGGTCCCATTGTAGCCTTTCCACTGCAAAATATTTAAACAATCTGCAATTATTCTAAAGCAGATTCTAAATTATTCACTATTTCAAAAGCTCAGCTTTAGAATTATTGATGTCTTTTAACTACATATGAAAGGTACAACTTTATGTATACTGATCCAAAGTAAGTATAGCTGTTTTTCTATTTGGACATATAGCATAATATTTCCAATTACAGGTAATTCTCAATTTACAATGGTTCATCTAATGACCATTCAAGGCACTAAAAAAGTGATTTATGATTGTTTTTCACACTTATGACTGTTGCAATATACTCATGGACATGTGATTCAAATTCATACAATTGACACATGTTTATGACAGTCACAGCATCCTGGGATCATCTTTTGTGATCTTCTGACAAGCAAAGTCAGCGAGGAAGCCAGATTCACTTAACAACCACCATACCATCACTCAGGCTGGGGGGACAAAATTTAAACCCCTCAGAAAGGGCCCGCAACTTG